CGGTGCACACTGCGATCGGATCCTTGCGGTTGAGGTCCAGCGGTGCACACTGCGATCGGATCCTTGCGGTTGAGGTCCAGGCGTGCACACTGCGATCGGATCCTTGCGGTTGTGAGGTCCAGGGATGCACACGATCCTTGCGGTTGAGGTCCAGGGGTGCACACTGCGAGGGGATCCTTGCGGTTGAGGTCCAGGGGTGCACACTGCGATCCGGAGCTGGCCAGACAAGATCGGCGAAGCAGATTGGCGAGGAAGGAAGCAAGGAGGAAGGAGGAAGGAGGAAGGAGGACGAGGAGGCGGCGGAGGCGGAGGAAGAACAACTGTGATAAAATCTAACAACACTCACCTGGCAGGTGGGGAACCAAAAAACGAGCTTCTGCATGGTTCTGCGGGTTTCCACGAACAATTTGACAGGTGCACTTTGATGTCTTCGGAAAAACAAAGAAAAAACTCGATAAAAAAACGAGGTTTTGAAATGTTCTGAACATGTATGCAGCATATTGCAGCATGCCTTCCTGGACTCCACATGATTCCATGTGTCGGTGTTGAATCCTCTGACCGTCTCGGTCCTCGTCGCGCGACTACGGCGAAGGCACGACACGACAGGGGAGAGAAGCTCTGGAGCCGCAGAATGGGGGGCCAGGCCAGCGGCGCGGGCAGGCGCGCAGCGATGGATCCAGCAATGTGTTTGGGCCATGTGTCATGACCTACAAAATCGGCAGGCTGGTCTAGAACACATAATAAATGGTCGCAAGAAGTTGTCTTGAAGTGAACAGCATGTCACCCGGTCAACGATACTCTTCAAGACCCACTAAAGTCACTTTAAAAAAACTATGGGACTATGGCTATGTTAACTCATGTTACAGTACCTGTTGTAGACAGGTAGGTGCGTTGGTCTGAGTTGTGTTTCCTCCAAAACTATACTTTATCGTTGTTCTCTCAGCGACATCTAATGCAGCTGCCAGTGCAAAGGGTGGACAAAATCCCTCGAGCAATACCAAAAACAGAGAAAAACTTACACTCATGGCTAAAGACAACGGCTTCTTCCTGTACACCCAGACACTCTTAACACTCTGCTTCTCTTTTTAAATGGTCCAGCTTCTGGAATTCCCATCCCCTGTATCTGGGAGGATGCACACAAGGATCCTCCATCCTTTTCAGGTTGTTGAACACCGTCTCCATCCCAAGGAGCAACGCATTTCAGTCGAAATCCTTATATTCCACAACGATACTTAAAGCAGAAAGCCTGGTATGAAAGCAACATGATGTTAAGTTAGACTCCCCTGGCCCCTGTTGATCTTGCAGGAGTACATTGGGGCTGTATGGGGTTTCACAACCAATACATGTATACATATATAATCATATATGCATGTATCGTATATATATATATTGTGGTGGGAGCATGGGCGACTGCCTTCGGTGAACTAGCAAAGCTGATAGGTTCTCAGAAAAAACAGGTGCTCATGTCAAGTGTATGATGTTACATGATAGGCAGCCACAAGGTTACACTCCAAACCAGTGGCGAACCGAGAGATCTAGCTCTGCATGGAGAGGGAGGTCTGGTGGTGGTGTCCACAAACCCAATGAATACTCAGAACGGCCTTGGGCCAGACGAATTTCGGCAAAATGTGCACAAAAGTCTCTCACTGGCGCCTGGTGCAACAGTGTTGTTCCTGCTGGAGCTATCTCAGGAGGAATTGTTGGTATCCCAGTTGGGAATTTAAATGGATTGGGAGGCTCAGGACTGGAAACAACTGTTTGTCTGTGATACGTTTTTAACACTGGCGGCCTTGCAACAATCCTTGGTACTGTCAGCCCTCCAGTTTGCGGTGTGCCTCTCCAATCCTCTCCATCTCTCACCTGCATCTCTCATGACACCTTCACAAAATTACTTTACTTCGAGTGATCCCCACCATGACATTTCAATCATTCGTCTTGATGCCATAGCGAGGAGCTTGTTGCCATGGTCGTGAGTATTGTAGTCCTCGATTTGCTTGTGGGTCCTCGGGTTGTGTGCTGTGGTTGTGTGTTGTGGTTGTAGCTGTGTGCTGTGTTGTGGTTGTGGTTGTGGTTGTGTGATTGTGAGTTTGTCGGGTGTGTTTGTGATTGTGTTTGTGGTTGTGTTTGTGGTTGTGTGTTTGTGGGTGGTTGTGTGTTTGTGGTTGTGTGTTTGTGGTTGTGTTTGTGTTTGTGGTTGTGTTTGTGGTTGTGTGTTTGTGGTTGCGTGTTTGTTGTTGTGTGCTTGTGGTTGCGTTTGTGGTTGTGTGTTTGTTGTTGTGTTTGTGATTGTGTGTTTCTGATTGTGTTTGCAGTTGTGTGT